TTTTAAATTTTATTATTTTTATTTTATGTGTATGTGTGTATTGCCTGCATGTAGGTAAGTGCACCCATGCCGTGCAATGCCCACGGAGATCAGAAGAGGCTGTCAGATCCCCTGGGACTGGAGTTAACAGACAGTTGTTAGCTGCCATGTGGGTACTGGGTTTCGAACCCAGGTCTTCTGCAAGAACAACCAGTGTTCTTAACCGCTGAGCCATCTCTCCAGCCCCTCTTATAGCTATTTTCAAGGAAATGAATATTCCAATACCACCAGTCAAGGAGACAGAAATTATGAAAGTCAGAAAACTGAGGCAGGAAGACCAAAGTTAGAGCCCAGTCTTATAGTGAGACTCTCTTAAAAAAAAAAAAAATATGATGCTAGTAGCAATTAGTTTGTATTTTAGAAAAGGCTGTTATATCTAGGTTCCCTGAGGTTACCACAGGTGAGTCTAGACTCACCTAGAATGGGAGCAGCACCATTTCATGGGCTGAGTCTCAGACTGAACGAAAGGGAGAGAGCAGAGCTAGCTAAGCCCTGGCAAACATGTATGCATTAATTTCTCTCTGCTCCTGACAGGATGCGATTGTGACCAACTTTGAAAATTCCTGCCACTATGACTTCCATGCCATGATGGACTGTAATCTGAAACTGTGAGCTGAAACAAACCCGTTCTCCCCTAAATTGCTTTTTTTCAGGGTATCTTATCATAGCAACAGAAATGAAACTAGGACACATTGGAACTGCAAATTCACAGGGTGCAACTAATAAAATACTGTGAAGCTCAAAGATTAGGCCCGCCAAAATTTTGCCTATTATTAAATGCTCAGTATCCAATGCAACAGTTTACCTCCAAAATTAAGAGTCTTTTACTGCTGGGTATAGTGGCACACACCGTTAATCCCAGCATTTGGGAGGCTGAGGCAGTGGAATCATCAGTCTAAAGCCTACATAGGCTCACAGCAGTTTCCTACATAGGCTCACAGATTACACCATGAGACCTTATCTCAAAAGATACAACAGTCTTGGGGCTGGAGAGATGGCTCAGCGGTTAAGAACACTGACTATTCTTGCAGAAGACCCAGGTTCGAATCCCAGTAACCCACATGGCAGCTACCAACTGTTCATAACTCCAGTTCCAGGGGATCTGACTCCCTTTTCTGACTTCTGCAAGCAATATACTCATACACATAGAAAAACCTATAAATATAAAATATTTAACTTTGCTAGTAGTAACTAAAGACACAAAATGAGTACCATATCCAACTGACAAATACTAAAAAGATTTTTTTAAAAAAATATTACTGTGCAAGATATGGGGAATCTAACATTACTATTCACTATTATTGGGCTACATAAAAAGATTTCAGGAAAATAACCACATTTCAAAGCATGTTCATCCTTTGACTCAATAGTCCCACTTTTAGAAAATTATTAAGAGTGCATATATATATATATATATAGTGTGTGTGTGTACTTACAGAAGAGCATTATATATGCATGGACTACAAGAGGTGCTTAAATTATAAATTTATTTATGTATATGAGTGTTTTATCTGTATGTATGTGTACCTATGTCATGTAATGCACACAGAAGTCAGAAGAGGGCATCACATCCCTTGGAACTGGAGTTACAGACAGTTGTTAGCTGTCATGTGGGTGTTGAGAATTGAACTTGCATCCTCTAGAAGAACAGGAAGTGCTCTTAACCACTGACCCATCTCTCCAGTCCCTTTACTATTTGACGTAGTATTATTTACAATAACAAAAAAATGTTAGCAACAGATATACCTGCAACCATGGCATGCCCACATAATGAAATGTTATAGCTGGGCATGGAGGCACATGCCTTTAATCTCAGCACTCAAAAGGCAGAGGCAGGTGGATCTCTGTGAGTTCAAGGACAACCTGACCTATATAGTGAGTTTCAGGCCAGCTACAGGCTCATAACGGTAGAACCCCTCTCAAAAAATAAAAACAAAACAACAAAAAACGATGAAATATTATACAATCTAAAAATGATGATATATGTCTCTATAATTATTGCTTTAAAATATACCTACTGGAACTATGGATGTATCTCAGTGGTAGTTTACCTAGCAAGCACAGGCTCTAGGTTCAGTCAACAATCTAACAAAGATATATACACCTATAAGTTCAGAGAGTAGTTGTGCACAACTGTAATGCCAACCACTGAGGAGGCTGAGGTACGAGGACTGCTTGAACCCAGGAGTTCAAGGCTAGTCTGTGCAATATAGCAATAGCCCATGTCTTTTTTTTTCTTTTTTAATGTGTATGAGTATATTGCCTGCATGTACATAGGTGTACCCATGTCATTCATTGTACCCATGTCATGCAATACCCTGGGAGATCAGAAGAGGGCATCGGATCCTCTGGAACTGGAGTTACGGATGGTTGTCAGCCACCATGTGGGTGCTGGGAACTGAACCTGGGTCCTCTGTAAGAGCAGTCAGTACTCTTAACCACTGAGCTATCTTCCCAGCCCCATAACCAGGTCTTAAGAGGAATAAACAATGAACCCATAACAAAAAAAGCATCTCAAAAACATTGAACATAGAGGCTTGAAACAGAGGGGGTGCGTGTGTGTGTGTGTCTGTGTGTCTGTGTGTGTACACCAATGTTCATGTTATTATTACTCCCAAGAGCCAGAGAATGGAATCAACCTAAGTGTCTATCAGTGGATGACATTCAGACTTTTCTTAAAAGGAATGAAATTCTGAGGAACCTTAAAGACATTATGTGCAGCAAAATAATCCAGACAGAAAAGGACAAACACAAAATGAAATCCATGTAGGACACTGAGAAAAGACAAAGTCACAGAAGAAACAAGGAGAATGGCAAAGGCTGGGTATGGTCAAGCACATCTGCAATCCTAGCACTTGGGAGGCTGAAACAGAAAGATTTCGAGTTTGAGGCCAGCCTGAACTATGTAACAAGTTCCAGACCAACCTGGGCTACACAAGAGAGCTTGTCTCAAAAAAAAAAAAAAAAGAAGAAAAAAAGAACAAATATCACAACTTCTAGACTGGAATAAACACTGTGTTTGATTATTATTGTTTGAGCCCTATGTTCATAAAACAATGAGGTATTTTTAAAGAAAATACTTTGCTTTTTTAATTTTAAAAAATTTATTATTTTTATTTTATGTATATTTTATGTGTATTTATTTATTTTTGTGTTTAATGAGTGTACTGCCTGCGTGTATGTAAGTGTATGTAAGTATACCCATGTTGTGCAATGTCCACAGTTGAGACGGTGTTGGATCCCCTGGAACTGGAGTTATGGACAATTATTAGCTGCCACGAAGTTGCTGGGAACTGAACCTGGATCCCCCGCAAGAGCAGTTAGCGCTCTTAATTACTGAGTAATCTCTCTAGACACCCCCCCACTACTTTGTTTTTAAAAAGAAAACACTACTTTGATTATTCCCATTATGAAGCACAATGTTAAGAGTCACCAATAATGGGCTAGAAAGATGGCTCAGCAGTTAAGAGCACTTGGCTTCTCTTGCAGAGGACTCAGGTTCATTTACTATCACCCAAAAG